ATGTAATAAATGTATTCATTAATATTCAGATAAAATGTAATAATGTAAATAACTTTAAATAATAAGATAAACTTTGATTGAAAATGTATTAGGGTGTGTGTGTGTGTGTGTTTGTGTATGTGTGTGTAATTTGTGAATAAGGCTAGAGAGGTGGTTAAGAGCCTTTACAACAGTGCTTTCCCATGTGATCCAAATTTAATTCCCATTTCTCACATTAGCAGGATACAAGTGCCTGTAACTTCTCTCCAGATGACCAGGTGCCACCTTCTGGCCTCAGTGAGCACTGCACTCACATACAAAAACCCACATATAGACATACATGCATAGTCATAACTAAAATAATGATGATGATTATATCGAAATAAATGATCATGTTATCCCAAATATATTGTGTACACTTCTCTTCCCTTGTTCAGATTCCTTAAGTATTTGGTGCAATGTTTGCTAGAATACTATTTATGACCTTTGTCGAAGTTTCACTAACAAAGGACTATGTGAATACTTCAAAAGCATTAGCATTTCATTAAATCACTGACATAATGTAAAATGTTTAGTGAACATGCTAGAACCCAATCTCTTCATTCTATGACTGAAAAACCCAATACATGTGCTTGCATACATGTGTATAGTTACATGTGTGATATAATGTGTTTATAACAATTGGTTTCATTTGTTAATAAGGCATTTATTTCCCAAAGACTGGAATACTATTCATGATTTTATTAGGCAGCCTCCATTCCTCTTCTTTATTGTGTTTATCCTACTGGCAATAACTTTCTCTTGTCTCTTTGCTTATATTGCTGAAGATGACCAGAAACTTCAAGGACAAATATTCTGTTCTCTATCTCAGGAGCTTAGCTCTCAAGTTATGCCTCTCTGAATTTTGAAGTTGACCTAACTATAAAGAGGAAAATAAGTACCCCTGGGCACCACTTGTAGTGTGAATCCACAAGAATCTGGTAAAGGTTCTCAAGATTTTATTTTGCCATGAAATGGGGGTAATCCCTCACTGATATAGACCAGGTTAGAGGCTGATGCTATTTCAGCTGCCTTCAGTCACTTGTTCTGTCCAGGGGTGAAGAGAAAAAAAAAATAAAAAAAAATAAAAAAAATAAAAAAGCTGCCTTACTTCACTTCACTCCGACCACCCAAGAGAAGGAGCAAGCGAGAGAGATACCCTTCCCCCTCAGCTTAGAGGTTGTCAAGTAACAGAGAAGACCATACCCTAAGGCTTGCGGTCCCTAAAGTTATTGGCTAAACAGATCAAAATCCCACAACAGCTCAGTGGCAGCAAGAATAGATGGGGGCTGGGGAGGCCCAATTAACTTCGACATAAACACTTAGTCTCTGGTTGTCTGAGACTCCTTCCCAGATGTGCTTGTCTCTCAGGTGGCTGCTGAATTTAAAGTTCTCAATATTCTAATACTAATTTCCTTGATTGTGGCAAGATATCAAAAACGTTATCAAATCAGGTTATTTATAAATGCCTCATTATGTCACAAAATCTAAAGATTTCAGACATATGTTTCATTTTCCTTATTTCCAAATAAATAAAGAGCCATCACTGTTTTAGTTAATATCAATATTAATCCAGAGCCACACAACTGAAGGCTCATTTGAGTATCACAGTCACAGAAAAATCCTTAGTCTGTTTTGAGAAATGGAGAGACTGGGTTGGGATTATATTTCAGAGAGGGAACTAGTGCCAAGAATTTCAGATTTCATGGAATGGGAAGACTTTATATTCAAGAAGAAAGCTAAATGGTTTGGTAGTGTAGGTTAGGTGCAAATGATTTTCCCAAACCATAAGAGCTGAGTTCCATGGGGCATAAAGAGCAGTTGAACAGGCATCAGGAAATCAGAAGAGGTGTCTGACTTGGTAATGGCTCTGACATAGACATGGAGGTTTCCTCTATATAAAGATCACAATAAGCCTTGCATGGAACTAGAAATATAATAAAAACCAACGTGGAATTCAAGGGATAAACAAGTAAACACTTTCCTCAGGGGTTCTTATCTCCCTCCCCTTTTTCGAGGGACTATGCAATCTTCTCTTGGGGTCCTCCTTGTTTCATAGCTCCTCTGGCAGTGTGGATTGTAGACTGGTAATCCTTTGCTCTATGTCTAAAAATCATATATGAGTGAGTACATACCACGCTTGTCTTTTTGTGACTGGGTTACCTCACTTAAATGGTTTCTTCTAGTTTCATCCATTTGCCTTCGAATTTCAAGATTCCATTTTTTTTCCACCAAGTAGCACTCCATTTTGTAAATGTACCACATTTTCTCTATCCATTCTTCAGTGGAGGGGCCTCTAGGTTCCTTCCAGGTTCTGGCGATTACAAACAATGCTGCAATGAACATAGTTGAACATATGTCCTTATTTCATGAATGTGCATTTTTGGGGTATATGCCCAAGAGAGGAATTGCTGGATCTTGAGGTAGACAGATTCCCATTTTCCTGAGAAACCACCATACTGATTTCCAAAGTGGTTACACAAGTTTGCACTCCCACCAGCAATGGAGGAGTGTTCCCCTTTCTCCACATCTTCTCTAGCATAGACTGTCATTGGTGTTTTTGATTTTAGCCATTCTGACAGGAGTAAGATGGTATCTCAGAGTTGTTTTGATTTGCATTTTGTCGATGGCTAAAGATGTTGAGCACTTTCTTATGTGTCTTTCAGCCATTTTAGATTCCTCTATTGAGAATTGTCTATTTAGTTCTGCACCCCAATTTTAATTGGATTTATTTGGTGTTTTGGAGATTAGCTTCTTGAGTTCTTTGTAAATTTTGGAGATCAGCCCTTTGTCAGATGTGGGGTTGGTGAATATCGTTTCCCATTCTGTGGACTGGTGTTTTGTCATGCTGAATGTGTCCTTTGCCTTACAGAAGTTTCGGTCGGAGGTGGGGGCAAGAAGACTGAGACAAGGGAGAGATAGAGGAGGGCAAGGAAGGAGATGCCTTGATAGAGGGAGACAGCACAGGTATGGAGAGATGTCTGGCACAGTGGAAATGCTAGGGGATCCACGGGGATGACTCCACCTAAGAATCTAGGCAGTGGTGGAAAGGATGCCTTTGATGCCCTTCCCCTGTAATAAGATTGATATCTACCTTGGTTACCATTCCTAGAGCCTTCATCCAGTAGCTAATCGAAGCAGAAACAGGCACAGGCAGCTAAGCATTGAAACATACTCCTGGAATTCAGTTGTGGAGAGTGAGGAGGGATGAGCAAAGGAGCCAAGACTGTGCTGGAGAAACCAGCAGAAACAGTTGACCTGACCTAGTGAGAGCAAAAGACCCTAATTGTAAAGCTGGGGAAACAGCACTGGACCAAACCAAGCCCTTTGAATGTAGGTGCCAGCTAGGAGGCCTGGGAAGTCTATGGGACCTCGAACAGTGGAGCCAGTGTTTATCCCTAGAGCACAAATGGACTTTGGGAGCCCACTCCCTATGGGGGAATTCTATTGCAGCCTAGATACAGGAAGGAGGGCCTAGGCCCTGCTCCAAATGATATGAAGGACTTTGAAGGTCCCCCATGGAGGCCTCACTATCCCTGGGGAGGAGGTGGGGGATGGGTTGGTGGGTTGGTAGGGAACATGGGAGGATGGGAGGGCAGGGGAATGAGGGGATTGATATATAAATATGAGTGCCTCAAAAAAAAAAAAAACACAGCTGCTAGCCAGGCATCAAATCACCAAGTCCCTTAACCTCCAAATTGAGTTCCCATTTTGCTCTCTTCTGCTTGCCTTATTTATAGCTGCATGGGTAAGCACCTGGCATACTATCACCAAGGAGGGATCCTGCATCTCAGGATGTTCCACAGTCTTTTATTCTTCCCCAGTTCTTCCTAGTTGAGTATGACAATGGTCTACCTTGAAAATAATTTGCAAATTTCCTCATTTTTTTTTTGCTATCAGCATGAAGGAAGCTTTGATGCATTTAAAATTTGAGACATATCTCCATTGGGCCATGTCCGTCCTGATATCCTTTTGCCTCTGCCTCCCAAGTACTGGGATCCCAGGTGTCTATAACAGCACACTTCTGGACCTTTTTTTTTCCCCCACTGGGCTGCTCAGTTCTTGAACTGATTCAATTTACTTCTGTTTTTACCTTGTCTTGTTGATTCCTACACAGCAGTGAGACAGAGCTTTCTGAGATCATGTGTGCCAGGTCCAGCCATCCCCAGTTTGAAGCCATTGAATACCTTGTCACATCCAGAGTAAAAACACACTCTCTTCCGAATCCAGGAAGACATTTCCAACCCAGCCTTCATGTAGCTTGCACTGTTACCATCCATGTCTCTTCTGTATGCTGCTTCGCTAGCTGTCCTCTGGTGCCTGGACACATTCAGCCAGTCTTTTCTATGGGAACTTCTTTTCTTTAACTCTGAGTAGAAGGTGCAGTTTGGAGAGCCATAGCTTAACTTCAGATTCACATTCTCAAAGTCATGTCCCATGCATCTTCTAGAAGAACAGGGGCCACTGGACATGACATCTCTCCATGGTTCATGACTGTACCTGGTATTCACTTCATCATGAGGCAAAGGTCAGAGCCTGCTTTTGCTTCCTGAGCCCTATACTTGAAGATCCCTCTAGAATGTCAAGCCCTGGCCTGAGCTTCTATACTGGTAAGAGGTACCTATTTCTCCCTACTTGTTTCCTCTCAATATTTTACTAATAATTTCCACTTGATGTAGTCATTTTGCCTCTTCTTAGCCTTTGAACTCATATTTTTATACCCCTGTTTTATTATCTTGACACCTGTTTCTGTTATGTCATCCAATTGCTAAATAATTCTGGGTCTTTAAAAATGTATTTGATTTCATTGCCTATTTCACCGTATTTTAAGGTTTTTCTAGCTTGCTTTGTCTTTTCCTAAGAACTTCCTTTCCCTCTTTGTATTCACAATCCTGACTTATAACTTGGCTTATATCACTTATCTAGCTTTCTTTTTAAATCTCAGGCTAAATTAAGTTTGATCTTGTGATGTTTACTTTTTATTTTTAACAGTCATACAATTTCTCTGGATCAATACATACCCTGTCTTTTATTAGAATTTATTCAACTTTTAAATGTTTCCTATTTAAAATATAGTTTGGGTCTTAGGAGACAGCACAGTAAATCATGTGTCATGCAAGCATGAAGACCTGAGTTCAAATCCCTAAAGCCCATACAAAGCATAAACATACACATACACACAGGCATCTAATACCAGAAAGTCAGAGACAGGAGAATCCAGGAAGATACTGATGAAGACAGATCACCTAATGTCATGTTGGTGAGCAGTGATGACATCCTGGCTTAAATATCTCCAATTGGCCACACATTTCACTCATACACATTAACACACATGCAAACACATATACACACATACACACATGAGAGAGAGAGTACATACATGAATTAATATATATATAGATATAGATATAGATATAGATATAGATATAGATAATTTTTACAGTTTCTTAATTTGTGCCTATGTATTAGTTTTTTTTTTGTCTGTGTGTGTGACTCATGTATTTCTATATGTTCATGAGCAAGAATTACTTGCTATTCACTTACAGAGGCTGTCTGCTCTGAGAAATTTCAGCCTGTGTTTTTCAAATATTCATTTAAATAAATGCATTCTCCGTTTACAAATATCTGATCCTTTATCATAAATTTAGTCAATAATAAGGAAGAATTTACAAAGAAAGTTCATTGTCACAGTACTGACACTGATATATTTAAGTAAATACATGTAGGCACATGTATTAATTTTTTTTAATCTCCTAAAGACTGGAAGTATGAAAACAAATTGATCCTTAGAGCATTTGCCTGAGACTCACTCATCTGACTGCACTGGAATATTTGGGATGTATACCTGGAATTTCTTTTATACATTTGCCTTGAGTGATATTTAAGCACACTTAACTCTACCAACTGGTATCTTAGTTTAGTTAGCCCCTTATGTAAGAATATAGTATAAAATTCCATTGCTCCGTTTAGTAGCCAGGACATACTGTGAAAATAATTAAATGGCATAAAATATATTTGAAATGTAACTTTCTACGTTGTGTTTGCTCATAAAGGAATTTGTTTTTTTAAAGGAGCTGTTTTTTCTGCAAGAAAAGAAGGAAGTAAAGAGAGACTATTAGAGATTGCCTGTAAGCTTGTGTTATGGCAACAGTATCCAAAGTCACTACTGCCTGCCATTGTCATGTTTCTGACATCATGTTCTATCAGCCCCTGTGTGGATCTGGGGAAGACACTAATAGCTTCCTTTAGCTTGCACTCTTTCCTGCAGCCATTCAGGTGTTCCCTGCAGATGTAGATGGGAATTTCTCCAGGCAAATGATTATTGTCTTTGTTCTTAGCGTTTGGTACTGGAGGGTCAAAGCTAAAATAGAGTAATCGTTAAATGTAAAATTTTATGTGATGGCTAAATATATTTGTTAGAACAGAAATATTTCCTCCTACCTTTCCATAGGCTCCAATGTAATGGAGAGGGCATTTGTAAGTTTTACTTCTTCCTTGAATCTAAGCGTCACTTTAATATGTACATCTATCTTCAATTTGATACATGTCTGTGGTTTTACATGATTCCCCATGTAGCTGGAATTATTAGTACTGCTGAAATCACAACAAATTTTTAGTAGTAATGTGGAAACTCAAGATAATCTGCCTACAAAGTATCAAGGGGGACAATTCTTACAATAGTTTTTGTTAGATGGCAGCTATGGACACTCATCTATGGGTGGAACATCTACTCCTTTCTTATGCTACAGAGCCTAGAAGCTAAGTACAAAACTTAGATGCAGGTACAGGTTTTCCTTTCATGTTCCAGTGTTAGTCTTGAAAATATTCCTGAGGTAGATATGAAATCTTTGTTCTGATATTAGAATAAGCAAGCAGTGGCGACCTGAACTGAACCACATCTCGAATCCAAGTATACCCAACATACAGCGCAAAGCAGAGATGTTGGGTCAAAAGTCATTTATTTCAACCTGACCACTGTCAAAGCACATATATGTGCCTATGAGGACACAGCTTTGTTGGAAAGAAAGCTGATTTCAGGGTAACTTCCAAAAAGTATGTTGAGGCAGTAGGTGTCTGATACAGTTCTTGTGGGAGGAATTCACTAAATTAAGGAAAGCCAGATGTAATGTCCCCTGTTTTTAATCTTGGAACTAACAGGCTGTAGCTGGAAGAGTGCCAGGAATTCAAGCCCTCTCTAGACTATGAAGTGAGTCAATGACCAGCCTAGAATATAGTACATCTTGTTTTAGCAATCCCTTTTCCTCAAAAAAAATAAATAAATAAAATAAAATATAAAAAGAGAGAGTCTTGAAATCGCACGGAAAACTCTAATTTGTTATAATTTATGTTCATGTTTCCAGCAACAGAATATAATCCAAGCTTCTACTGGCCTTTTGTGATCTTATGGAATTATTAATCACACACTAGGGTTCCAGAAGAGGCCTAGAGTGATCAAATACACAGAGCGTTGACTTTCATGTTTATTCAGATTCTAATACTTGGTGAATTTCTTTGTTTTACTTTTTGTTTTTTCTTCACAAAGCCTTTCTAGGAATTTCCTTTCTTTAAAATCACTCTGATAAATAAACACCACCTTGTGTTTGGCTGTTAATCTCTGCTGTTTGGTCTCTGTATCCCATGGATAAATTGTACTTCTCCAACAATACTCCCAGCTTTTAGGATTCTATTTCAATTCATTTAGCTTCTTCCACTTTTACTTTAGTCTAAAAGTAAAAACAAATATTGGTATTTCATAGACACAGTGAACATACTACATTTGCTGACAAATTCTCTTTTATGACTCTTACTTTGTAATACTAGTCAAAAATCCCCACTAATCTGTTATGTACTATAGCTTGGGAAACATAATTTTCATTTAATTTCTTAACAAAAATCTGTGCTGACAAATTTTTCTCCTTAGATAAAGTAGTTGTGAACTACCAAAAACTGCAATGAAACTCAGTATATGGACAAAAATCAAGGAACCTGGATAAAAATATGTCTCCCTGGTCCTCACATTTAGTCCTAATAACTGAAGGACAGTGGCCTCTGAAACTCTGTTTGCATTGAACTTTTAAAAGATGATGTGGGATGTGATATCCGTGTCTGCTCTTTCTTATGATGCATTATGCTGGTGTTCTAAATCTTTGTTTGTGTTTCAGAAAAGTGTGGCATATTTCAATTCTATTCATACTTATTTATATTTCAAAGCATCAGCTTAAAGTAAAGAGAATTCAGTACAGTCTACAAAATGAAATGGTGTGCTTGGGCATTTATCAATGTCTTTGCAGTCAAACAAGTCAATGAAAAGTGCTAAAAGAAAGGATGTTTTAAAGCTAGAAGGAGCCAAAAGAGCAAAGCCCAAAACTTTGACTTTCTGTCCCCAGAACTCTACTACAGATGAAGTATAGTGAGTTAGACTTTGGAGTCACGAAGACCAGAGTTTATAAAAAATCAACACAACTGTGGACTACATAGAGGATTGTGAATGTCTCTTGTGGTATCAGGATTGTGTCTTTAAAAGAAACTAAAGTGAAGGCTATGTTCAGACAGACTATGAACAGCTAAGGAATTAAAGCATTTGAAAATTTACACTCAGCACCCAGCACAGTCTTTGGCCATCATGTGCCTATTCATGTAAACACCTTTCTATGTAATTATCCTTTTTCTTTATTTCTAGGACTGTTGACATTTTAAAGTTTATTTTAGGAAAATCCAGTATTTTGTTGTTTTTATTTGTTTATTTTGATTTGTCTTATTTCACTTGGAGTTTCTTGGACCTCTTTATGAATATACAACTGTTTTTACAATTTTCCTTTTATATTTACCTTTATGAGGAAAAGTTCACACTCCTGATCCCTTTGGAGCTACAGACTCCTGTGTGAACCAATGGGAAATGATATGTGGAAGACGGTCTCAGTCCCAGTTGCCCAAGTGAGCTCTTGAGAAAGATGCATATGTTGCTGTTACCAGGACAGTGCAACTGTAAATCCAGATGATCTGTCACAGACTACGTGAGAGGAGAAGAGCGAAGCTTACAGCCACATAACCTAATGCACTTAATGAAATCTAGAGAAATCACAGATGGACTAAAACATGCAGGAGTCGCAAAAACAGACAGGTGAACTAAATACCAGAGGCCAATTCTCTTCAGAGTGTTTTGATAGATCAGTTCAAAACCCATTGTGAGGCTATCATCCCCATTCAAAGCAAAAACAAATGAACAGAAACGTTAAGATCTTGTAGGAAGATGGGCATATCTTCATTTCTTTCTCCTTGGTCCATCAGGAAATGTGACACAAACCAGCTTGCTGTCACAGTGTTCCAACAGCTGCCCCTTTTCTCTGTGACCTTTAACGGACTTTTATTTAAAACCAAAGAGGTGTATTCTTACACAGAAGGAAGAAGCCTGATGGAACATATGAACTGTACCAGGCTACAGATAATTTTTGTCTTTGTAAAAATTCCTTAGATTTAAATCCTTGAAATCTAAACATGTCTACTCTGAGTTTACAAAAATATCCAGCTAATTTAATATGTGACTTTAAACTTTCTCTGCCTTTGGGCTGTACACTCTGGAGTCATAGCAAGAGTGAGACTTAATGGAAACCAGCCATTAATTGGGATGTGCTGAAAAAAAATGTGTGATTTGAAAATTATTTTTATAAAACCACCATGCTCCAGAAGTAGAAAATAGAAAGCTTAATGTTTTTTTAATGTTTATTTTTATTAGAATTGGAGGACATGTATCATCACAAAATATCTAAGGAAAGATGAACACATCTCCTTTCAAATTGCAAGTCCAATATTCTCTTAGGTCAAATTACATCTGTGTAGGTGATATTTGTCTGAGACAAAGCAAAGGCTCATAAGTAGATCTAAGAACCCTGAATGGCATAGCTTAGCCTGATACAGCCATTACACACTTACATTTCTTCATAAATCTTAAGGACATCAGTTGTCAGCCTGTCTGGTCTAGACACTGGTGTTCAGTTTCTGGTTCCTGTAATAGCTCAGAAAGGAAGATATGAACTATAAGAATTGTTAAAGCAACAAAAACGCCTCTGTGTGTTTTCTTTTGAGAGGAAAGGTAATTTGTTAAGAAACCTGCTTGACAGGATGATGGAGCATACTTCTTCTGTTTTTTCCCACCACGAAGAGCCCTGAGAATCAAAGGCAAGTCAGACTTGCTGTAGTGCATTGACTGACAATTAGATTTTAAAACCCCAGGAAATAGGATCTTATAATGCTACCTAATGGGATTCTGAAATAAAGTCAACTGCTCTTAGGTAGCGTCAGGTAGCAAAATTAAAAGAAAAGCACAGAAACTCAATTATTACTGGAACTGGCTCGTTAAGTCAGCTGCTGTCACACTGGAAGCAGCTTTAACTCCGTAGCAACATTGCATATTTTCAATGTCTTGTACCATTAGAGATTATTTTGCCTCCTAAAGTTAATAAATGTAAATCAAATGTTGGCATTCTTTACACATGAAAATCTTTGGAGGCTTATTTTCTATGGCCCCTTCTCCATAAGCAGCATAATTTTATTAAGATGTCAGGACAACAGGATTTGAATGTGATGACTTAATAGTTATCTGCTATTATTAGAACCTCATATTTTTTAAGCATTCCACAGTGCTTCATAGAAGTTAGGTATTGATGAAGCAGTTCACAAAGTAATCATTCTAAGGAGAGCTTAGACGTTCAATAGCAATAATGGAAATGTAATAATGAAAACCATGGCTTATTGTACCATGAAATCTAATGCCCTGACAACAAAGGATATAAATGTTTAACATTTGTTATTTGACTAAAAAGTTTCCCATTGCATTGCATTTCTTTCCATAATTTTCCTGTGCTTTATTATTAAAAATGATCCAAAATTAATGGAAGGAATCCAAATGTGTCATTTGGAATATTCATCAGCAACTAGAAATAAGCCAAGCATATTCAGAGGAATCCATTCTTGTAAACATTTGCAAACAGAATGGAAGTGAGCGATGTTATGTTACAATATCCTCAGTGTTTGTAGATGTTTTCCTTTGGAATTGACAATATAAAGTGAAAAGGGGAAAGCAAATGAGACTGACAGCACAGGAATATGAAGACTTCAGATGCCTCCTCTCAAGATGGAAGTCCTGGCCCTGCACTGTCCACCTTGGTTTGCTTCACACTGCAGCTAGATTCTCCTAAGTTTTGGGAAGGTATATTTTGGGCAAACTCCATTGACAGGCGTGCCCTGTTCTTTTGCACAGAAGCTGGGGATGGAAATAGATAAGATCTGGGACTCTGTGGATTTTGTGGAGTCTAGCGGCACCCCTGACACATGTCCTAACTTCAAAATATAGATCACTGGAGCCTACCTAATTTCAATTTGTTATTAATTCTTTATTCAAGAGACCAAAATCTTAATGAGCTTTTTCTGAATTCTGGGAAGTAGAGAGTTCCCAAAAAATTATTTTTCCAGACATGAGAATAAAAAATTTAAATGAATTGAGAACATTTGTTCTTACTCTATAAAGTCAGACATCAAAGTATTACCAGAATATACCATATAGTTAAGAATATTAGAATGGCCAAAGAGGAGATTTTTGACATTTTCAAAATACTAGGTGGCTATAACACATCAGATGAAATATGAGTAAGCATTTTCTTTCTTCAAATATAACACAACCAAAGAAACAGAACAAAAATAGTTGGAATCATGCCAAAACTACTCTGGTGTTTTGTATTTAATCATTTTGATAACAAGAAGCAGAACTACTCTGTTAGTATTAATTGAAGAGAAACCACTATTTATTACGATAAATCTTTCCACCAAAAGCCACCTGAGCTCCACCGCTACATGTGAGCTTTACGCCAGCCGCCTGCCCGAGTTAGGCCCAAATGAATACACAGAAACTTGTATTAGGTACAATGCTGCTTGGCCAATGACTAGGATTCTCATCTGTTAGCTCAGTCTTAACTATCATAAACCTATATGTTTTATAAGACTTATCTTATCGGGCGCCTTATTGGCATCTCTCCTTGCCGGTGGATCATATTGTGCTGCTGGAGCAGGAACGGGGGCGGGGGGAGGGACATTTCCTGTTTCCTTGCTAAATATGAGTCTCCTTGCTATGTCACTTCCTGCCTGGATCACCACTTCTCTACTACATTTCCCAGAATCCTCTTTGACTCCTAGTCCCATCTAACTTGCTGTCTCATTGGCCAAACAGTATTTTATTTAACAATCAATAAGATAAACATACACAGAATTACTTCCCCCATCAACTATTGGTTTGCACTGTGAATCCCCTCCCTCCTACTATTTCCAGTTAGTCAAACTTGGTATAATCATCGATGGAAACAAAGTTATTGAAATGCAAACAAATGTTTACACAATTTGTTGCTTTTGAAATAACAAAACAGTTGGTCTCAAAGCAAGCATGGTCTATCAAGAATAGCAAATGGTCTGGCATTTTATTCTGCCTGCAAGTTACTAAGTTACTCTAGCACAGTTTCAAACATTCTGGCCTTAAACATAGGTTCTTAGATCTGAGATAATAGACCTTTTATTGATCATAGTAATAGCAATGATGAAACTAAGATCACACTGTTGTTTGGGGTGGTGGCAGTGGTTCTCAGGTCCCCATATGGGATATTAGATAGGGGGAAAACTCACATTCACAATACAGTAGATTTCATTACAGGAGGCATCTAATACTGGCCTCTTACAACAGACAGTAAGAACACTAGCCTCCCTTTCCAACCATAGAAAGAAACTATCTCTACTGTGCATGGATATTCTGTACCAATCCTCTGGAAAAGATCATCTGCAGTAGGGAGGTGGTGCCTATGCTTGAAAAAAAAGAAGTGAGGAGTTGTTTTGTGCCAGGTAGATGGCTTGGTGAGTTAAAAGTTTGCCTAGAACCCCAGGAAAAACCAGTAAGAGCTTTTAATCCCAGTACTGTGGAGAAGGAAACAAGGGCTGTCTGGCAAGTATCATCAAACCATAGAGGCCCAGATTCGGAGAAAGTCTCTTTTTCAGAGAATGATGTGAAAAGTGCTAGAGGCACATATTTAATATTAATTTCTAGACACACACACTAAAAATATAAAGATTTATAAATTGTCAGACTTTTCCAAGGGGAATGTACTGTTATCCGTAGGATAAAGAACTTACTTGTGTAGACCCCATAACAAAAGTGTAATTTTACTAAAGGATTAGTAGTCTTAACCAATTTAAAGTTAGTGTTCACATATGCTTGCAGTGAATGGAAGAATCTAAGATGGAGTTAACAAACTTTAGCACTAAGTGAGCTTGACTTTGCCCTCCCTTTGGGCTTTCCTTCCCTTTACAGAGACACAAAGGATTTTCCATGAAACTCCTGGCACTGAAACAATGGATTGATTTGCTGTTGTCTATTTTGTATGAAGTGACTAACTTGAAACCCAATTTTACTGTAGCTGGATAGACTTTTTAAAAACTAGGAGCAAAGATTGTGTTTGCCAAATGAGCAAAACAAAGTCATTTTTCAGTTAATCTTCATTGTGAAAATATAACAAATACAAATGAGATAGTCAAAACCTTACAATTTAATTAACATTGAATCATTTTTATAAATATATAGAATAAAAAGCAAATGGTGAAGGAAAAGCATATTAAGTAGTAAATTAAAGAAGAAAATTAATGATGCTGTAACACAGCATTCTTTTGATCAGAATTCACCTGGAAAATTTGACAGTATATGCAAATAATGAAGAGATGATAAAGACTTAAAGAACAAAACACCACTCTCTTTGTCCTCACTGAGCAGTTATGGTAAAATATCAAAATCATCTACAAATAAACATTTACTATTAGAGAATTCTTCAACACTGGCATGCTGAACTTATGTAATGAGTCCTGAGGTTACTGAGCACTGCTGGTTAGAAGGACTCACAGGACAAAATAGAGATGTAAAATGGTGTGTGGGTTACAAATAGGTGAATGAGAAGTTACCTTTCTTGTACAAATTACAGAAACTGCCCACAAAAAAGGAATCAATCTGAAGGAAGGAGCCTATTGGTGTAGAGTCTGAAATAGACAGAATTAAAAACTACATGGCTCTTCTTGAGAAATATAACAATCAAAGCTGGAAAGCATAGAATCCATCTTAAAATGCAGTGAGCAACTTGAGGTGGTAAAATCTGTAATATGACTAGGAATTATCTTGAAGCCCAAAGCTTTAAAAATTGTAAAGAACAGGATGCTTATAAAAAGGTTTATTAAGGAAATAAACCCATGGAGAAAAAAAACTTTGTCAGTATTCTAAAAGAATCAAACTCTCAGTATTAAAGCAAAGCTTGTCCACAAGGCTGAGTGAGGTTGGCTGTGGTGGTTTACACTTCTAATCCAGCATGTAGAAGCCTGAGGCAGGAAGGTCACCAAGATGAGGGGTCCCTGAGATGCATGTGAACTTCAGGCACACCAGGTGTAGGTGGAGTTTTCCTTCCCACCAACTAGTTCCCAAATAAACACATAGAACTTCTTACTAATTTGAAGGGTCAAAACTAAACACAAAGGGACTACCAAACCCTCTGCCTTGTTTCCAGGTTGCTTAGTTGCTGGGAACTGTGTGCAACAGGCCACCTGGAAGAAAAACAAAACCACATAAACCACAAAATGTTCCCTTCTGTAGCCAACCAATCAAAAGCGTTGACAAACAAGTTGCCCTACCAAAAATAAGACTGAAAAATTCTCCTAACCTTTCCCAAATATCAACCAACCAGAAACTGACCCATATCTCTCCCTGCCAACTGATATAACCCTGTGGTTTTTGCCTTTAAATACCCCAGCAGTAGACTAGAAAGGCACCTTCTCTGGTTGCTGCTGCATGAGTTCACTAGACAAGGTCCCAGCCACAGTTGGATATAGCCATGAGCCTTATTATTAGTATGCTTTTACAGTTCGGTGAGTCTGTCTCCCTGGTGGTCTTTGGGGGTCTTCTCCTCCTGGGCATAACAAATTATAAATGCTTGGTCAATAGCTTGGACTTATTACTAACTACTTCCTACAACTTGAATGAACCCATTTCTATTAATATATGTATTGCCATGTGACCCACGGCTTTACCTGTCCTCTAGTGTGTCTTGCTTTCTCTGTATCTCCTGGCAACTCCTCTGACTATGCCTTTCATTTTCCCAGTCCTTAGTTTAGTTGTCTTGCCTATAATTCCTGCCTGACTACTGGACAATCAGCTTTTTATTAGCAATGAGAGCAAAACATTTTAATAGTGTACAGGATTATTCCATTGCAGCAGGAGCACACTACTGGACAATCAGCTTTTTATTAGCAATGAGAGCAAAACATTTTAATAGTGTACAGGATTATTCCATTACAGATAGAGCAACATATTTGACTCTGTCTCATACGTGAAGCCAAAGAACACATAAAGGAAGATAAGTTTGGAGAAGAGATGCATGTGGTGTGGAAGAGTCATTATGGTTCGGGTGCCATTAAAGTCACAGACAGGAAGCTGTGGGCATGAAAGAAATCAACTCCAATCACCCTGGTTGAGTTTAGCAAGCTTGGCCTAGCATGTTCAGTGGGGGTGTCTTCAGTCCATTCTGTTTCTGGGTGAGCAGGCTGTCCTTCCACAACGCTCCTATTCATCTCAAGGTCAGTATGCATTTGGTTCATTTTTGGCATTAATATTTTTGGAAATTACTCATTAACCTACATTTACCTGTTTTTCTTGCTTGGCGCATAATACCCAGCAAGTGTTCCAGAACTTCCTTTGTTATTGTGCAGTGCTATGTCCTGCTCATCTTGTTTGCTCTATGTCTCTCAGAGTTCAGATTAATTTCACAGATTAATCAGGAGGGAAACTTCTCTGACACACTTTTAGGTCCCTGGGACTTTCTAGGTTTGATCTGGCTTCTTTTCATCTTATAACAATCCATGCATTTCATGTTGCAAAAATCTTGTTAGTTACTGTGACATTAGTACTATGTGATGTTAGTTAGTACATTGATGTCCCAGGGTTGATCATATAATCTGACCTCATTTCTTTACATTAAAAAACACAGGACCAAACACAGTAATGAATATTAAAAGTTCCTTTTCTATTTTTTCTTCTAATTTCTTTTGTTTGTTGTTTTGTTTCTTTTCAAGATAGGATTTCTCTGTGTAGCTTTAGAGCCTGTCCTGGAACTCACTCTGTAGATCAGGCTGGCCTTGAACTCACAGACATCCACCTGTCTGTGCCTCCCAAGTGCTGGGATTACAGGCATGTGCCACTTCTAATTTCATTTTGATTAGTAGTTCCTACTAACTGATAGAGATTTTCATTAGCCACAGTATGAAGATAATCCTTTAAATATTTGTACACATTTTACTTCTGTGTTGTGTTTTATTTTGTGATTGAATCATGAATTTTATAGTTCATTTGAAGGATACTTAACTTTATCTTATGAAACACAAACAGAATTAAACAACAAAAAAGGGAGGTACTACAAAATATAATCAAACTAATAGTTTACATGTTATTCTTAAAAATATAAATAAGAATATAAGACAACACTTGTCTCCAGTCAATGAATCCCTTAACCACAGTGAGATGACTGTATGTTGAGATAAAGAGAAACTTTGTAATTACTTAAGTCACACAAAATCCAATCTGGCATACAGTTTATGTTTGTTGAACAGAAATCCAATGGGTGTTGCCTTTTGCATCCTGATGTGATTTGGACTCTGATGTGGCACCAGAAGCCCCTTTTCTGTGTTACTAGCATGAAGCAAACAGTTGGAATGCACCCTACCTCCAGAAACGACAAACGCTTGCTAAGCAAGTCAAATCGTACTGCTCCACTCACACTAGTTCTTCACCACCAGCTTACGTTATTTCTTTAGCCAATGACTAAGCTTGAGCAGACAC